AAAAAAAAAAAAAAAATCATAACAACCGACCGATGGGCAATTTCTTTGTAGTCTAGTTGGTTAGGATACTCGGCTCTCACTCGAGAGACCCGGGTTCAAGGTCCCGGCAATGAAATTGGAGTTTTTTGTTTGTTATTTCTCTTTTACGATAACGAACCATCGGCAGTGACTTGTCAATCTACCTTGGAAAAATTAAAAAATATAAAATCAGAACAACTGATCGATGTGCAATTCTGTTGTAGTCTTGTTTGTTAGGATTCTCGACTATCACTTGAGAGACTCGGGTTCAACTCCCAGCAACGGAATTTTAGTTTTTCGTTTGTTATTTCTCTTTTACGAAAACGAACCATCGGCAGTGCCTTGTCAATCTACCTTGGAAAAATAAAAAAAATAAAATCATAACAACCGACCAATGGGCAATTCCGTTGTAGTTTAGTTGGTTAGGATACTCGGCTCTCACCCGAGAGACCCAGCTTCAAGTCCCTTTTACGAAAACGAACCATCGGCAGTGCCTTGTCAATCTACCTTGGAAAAATAAAAAAAATAAAATCATAACAACCGACCGATGGGCAATTCTGTTGTAGTCTAGTTGGTTAGGATTCTCGGCTCTCACCCGAGAGACCCGGGTTCAAGTCCCGGCAACGGAATTTGAGTTTTTCGTTTGTTATTTCTCTTTTACGAAAACGAATCATCGGCAGTGCCTTGTCAATCTACCTTGGAAAAATAAAAAAAATAAAATCATAACAACCGACCGATGGGCAATTTCGTTGTAGTCTAGTTGGTTAGGATACTCGGCTCTCACTCGAGAGACCCGGGTTCAAGTCCCTGGCAATGAAATTGGAGATTTTCGTTTGTTATTTCTCTTTTACGAAAACGAACCATCGGCAGTGACTTGTCAATCTACCTTGGAAAAATAAAAAAATATAAAATCATAACAACTGATCGATGTGCAATTCTGTTGTAGTCTTGTTTGTTAGGATTCTCGACTATCACTTGAGAGACTCGGGTTCAACTCCCAGCAACGGAATTTTAGTTTTTCGTTTGTTATTTCTTTTTTACGAAAACGAACCATCGGCAGTGCCTTATCAATCTACCTTGGAAAAATAAAAAAAATAAAATCATAACAACCGATCGATGGGCAATTCCGTTGTAGTCTAGTTGGTTAGGATACTCGGCTCTCACCCGAGAGACCCGGGTTCAAGTCCCGGCAACGGAATTTGAGTTTTTCGTTTGTTATTTCTCTTTTACGAAAACGAACCATCGGCAGTGCCTTGTCAATCTACCTTGGAAAAATAAAAAAAAATAAAATCATAACAACCGACCGATGGGCAATTCCGTTGTAGTCTAGTTGGTTAGGATACTTGGCTCTCACCCGAGAGACCCGGGTTCAAGTCCCGGCAACGGAATTTGAGTTTTTCGTTTNTGCCTTGTCAATCTACCTTGGAAAAATAAAAAAAATAAAATCATAACAACCGAACGATGGGCAATTCTGTTGTAGTCTAGTTGGTTAGGATACTCGGCTCTCACCCGAGAGACCCGGGTTCAAGTCCCGGCAACGGAATTTGAGTTTTTCGTTTGTTATTTCTCTTTTACGAAAACGAACCATCGGCAGTGCCTTGTCAATCTACCTTGGAAAAATAAAAAAAATAAAATCATAACAACCGAATGATGGGCAATTCTGTTGTAGTCTAGTTGGTTAGGATACTCGGCTCTCACCCGAGAGACCCGGGTTCAAGTCCCGGCAACGGAATTTGAGTTTTTCGTTTGTTATTTCTCTTTTACGAAAACGAACCATCGGCAGTGCCTTGTCAATCTACCTTGGAAAAATAAAAAAAATAAAATCATAACAACCGA